ACCTGAATGGAGGAACAAGTCTGGAAATGGGGTGGGCTGGGGGAATTGGTCCCATTTTCAGGAGCCAGAGGTGGATGATGGTGCAGGCTTGGTGGGGGTTAAAGACTTGGGTTTGACCTTTCTGGGACCCTGAGTGCTATAAATGGGAGTGTGCAGATTCCTAACACAGCCCCCACCGCAACCCCACCCCTGTATCTCTGAATCTAACCTTATCTGGAGAACAGGACTTTGCAGGGGTGATTACGTTCAACAGGTCATCAGTATGGGTGCAGATCCAGAAGGATTCTAGTCCTCTTCCCCCCGGGGGGAGATTTGCACTGGGAGCAGGCCTCAGAAGGAACCAGCCCCCAGCCCCTTTAGCTCGGGTTTCTGCTTCCAGAACTTGGAAGGTGTCACCATCTCCCCAGGGGACTCTGTCTCCAGGACAGTGACCTTGGCCCGCATGGCCAATGGAATGTGGTTAGTGGGGGTCCCCTGCGCGGTAGACATGGTGGCCGAGCCCTGGTCTGGATCTCAAGTCAGATTTTTCAGAGAGAACTGGGTCACCTGGGCACCCTTCCCCGGGCCTCTCTCAATGTGGAAGATGTCAGACAAATTCCTAGTAATGCAGTGCCTGACAATTTTTTAGCTAGAACATGGTCTCAGCTCCAACTGACAAGGCCGCGAAACTCAGGGTTCCTTGCTCTGATGTCTCAGGTCCCCTTCGAGTATGCTGAGCTACTGAAAGTAAGTGCAGTGGTCACAACTCCTTCCGGGCACTTGGAAAGGGGGAGGCCTGATTTGGACAGGAAGGACACGCAACTGGGTGACCCTGAGCCAGCCCATTCTGCACCAGCCTCTGCCTCCTCACTGCACAGTCAAGGGTTTGAGCGCAGTCAGATCAGGACCGCTTTAAAAACCGGAAATGATTTTAATTTTAATTTCCCCCTCCCCATCACCTTTTTTTAACTTGCATGGGAGAGTTCATTATGAATTGTGGTGCTGAAATACGACTGAGTAAACTGGGAGTTCAAGTATGAGGGGTGGAGAGACAGTACAGCAGGTCGGGGTGCATGCCTGCCACGTGGCAGACCCAGGCTTGATCCCCAGCACCCCACGTGTTCCTCCGAATCCCACCAGGTGTAGTCTCTGAGCTCAGAGCCAGGAATAAGCCCCGAGCACCACCAGGTGTGACTTCCCCGTCACTTCTGATGTTACGGTGACAGGGGATTGCCCCCACCCCCGGCGGTGGCACACACTTTCCCAGCTTGTGGTCGTCACACGGGAGGTGTCAGTGCTTACACACTCAGCTGAGGTGCTCCCCAAGGCTGGTGCTCCTTGCACACTATGCTCTCGGGGTAGAGGTGGGGGCTGGCGGTGGCATGGGGGGGTGCACTTTTAGCTAGGGCTGTACTGCTCTGTAGTGTCCACCCATGTGTTCACACTTCCTGGCCCTGATGCTCACACATCTCTGAAGTTGGGCTCGCCAGAGGTGCGACCCCTTCTGCAAAGCTGGCATCCACTTGGAGGCAGTGTGGCTGGGAATTGCGTGGAGCAGTGGGCACCTCAGCCAGCAGAGCTGCCCCGATGGCATCCAGGCAGGGCGCATGGGGCCCTGGGGATTTGAACTCGTGGCTGGCCGTTTGCAAGAGAGGAATGCTGAGCCACTTTCCCATTCCACCTGGTCCAAGTCAGGAGTTCCTAAGCTGCCTCTCCACAGGCTGAGCTGTTGGCTGTAGAGTTCTTGCACACACGTGCGTGTGGGAGGGCGAGGGGGCCTTCCCTCTGGTTCACCTGACTCCCAAATGGGCCACAGAACCTCTCAGGGCTTGGCACTAATCTGGATTCTGGTGCTCTGCTGGTCACTTTATCACTTTGTTTCTAAAGCCTCAGAAACAAGTGTTCCTGGGCTCTAGCACAGTGCACCAGGCACTTGCCCTGCACACAGCTGACCCTGGCTTCAATGCCCAGCTAGGTATGGTCCCCTGGGCCCACTAAGATGAGGTCCCTGAGTGCAGAGCCGAGAGTAAACCCTGAGCACGGCCAGGTGTGGTAAGAAAGGTTGGTTGACGGCATTATGGTGGCACAGTGGAGGATGGCATCAGTTCGGAGGGGGGTGTCGGATGGGGCCACGATTGAGGGACAGGCTTTCTGGGGTCCCAGAGCTCATCAGAGTCCCTGCGCCGCTCTCCTGGTGTCCCCACCGGCACTCTGCTCTTCCCTTGGTTGAGCATCACGCGCTTTGCTCTCCGGAGGATCTGTTCAGCTGCTCACCTCCAGCTCCCACCCCATGTATGCACCCCGGGCACCGGGCTCTGCCTCCTCCCACACAGCACCCGGCCCCCAGCCCCCAGAGCTTAGTTAGGTGCTGCGGCTGTTGGGTGGCTGTGAGCTGGAGGAGGACTTAGCAGGAGGAGGAAGATGGGGGTGGCCGGGGGTTATCCCTGCAGATGGCCTGTGCTGGGCACCAGCCTCCTGGAAGAGCTTGACCCGGGCATTGCCCGTACACACACACACACACACATACACACACACACACACACACACACACACACGTGTTCTTGCAGAATGCCAATTAAGACATTTGACCCAAATTCGGGTAAAAGCCTCTTTGCTGTGTCAAGTTGAGCTAATAATATACATTTATTCATAATATATGAGGCCTAGTAAGTGGGAGCAATTAAGGAAAAGCTGGGCAGAGCCTCTTTGTTCCTGGGCACCAACGCTTGGGCTGCCTGCCGAGAAACTTCGTGACGTCGCTAACACTTCACCCTCACTGCTTCGTTCGCTGAGCACTTACCGAGCCAGCTGGAAGGTGCCTCGTTGAAGCACCTGAGGCGGGCATCGTCCCATTGTACAGATGAGGTCGTTGAGATTCAGAGGTTGCACAGCTGGGGCCAGGCCAGACTTGCATGGCTCCCACTTGTTTCTGCAGCCTTCCTACACGGCTCTTTCTGAACCTGTAACACCATTCCGCTTACTTCGACATTATCTTAGACATCACAGGCCACAAAGAAAAGGAAGGTTCCAATTGGGGCTAGGCCTTCGCCCCGATTAGTTAATGTTGAAGTAGCGGGGTGGCATTAGAGGTTCAGAAAGAGCCGAGGAGGAAAGCTGCAGAAACAGAAGTCAGAGCTATGCAGGAGGAAAGGGTGGTGCATGGTCCTGAGAATGTACTCAGAGACAGCAGAGATCTCCTGCGTGCCTCCCACAGTACCCCAGCACCACACTCACCACCAGGGATGTGGGCCTCTAGAGCACTTCCTGTGCATTTGCATCTGTGTTTTACACAGAGAAATGGGAGACTGCATTGTTTTGTTTTGTGTACACACGTTGGGGAACTGTCTACCAGGAATAATAGTTCGTGACTTGCTGTTTTTACATGGCATGTCTTGGAGAACATGTAGATCTGCCTCATTCTTTTTTATTTTCTTTCTTTTTCTTTAATTTTATTGAAGCACCGTGAGATGCAGTTACAGATCTTTCATGTCTGAGATTCAGCCATACTATAATCGAACACCCATCCCTCCACCAGTGCACATTCTCCACCACCAGTGTCCCCAGTATACCCCCCTCCCCCATCCCAGTCCTCACCCTACCTCTATGGAGGGCATTTTCCCCAGGACTTTCTAATTCTAGGCATTATGTTTTTTTCCAAATTTTCCCACCACCATCCAAGCCTGCCTGCCAGGGACAGACGCTAGAGAATTTATTTTCCATTGCTCATTTTGAATATCATGAGAGTTTGTGCAGTTGCATTGTGGCCACACGCTTCTGGGATTGTACATGGTTGGGTTCCAGAGACATCTCTGTAGGGCACTAATCTATTTTGGGATTCAATTGGGAATCTCTGGACCAGGGCTGTTGGCACACCAAGATGGCGCCCGGAGGAAGCTTGTGGACATGACAGCTAGGCCACAGAGTGGGCGAAGATTTGGGGTGGGATCCCCGCCGCCTCTGCCACCATGTGGCATGGAGTTTTAGTCCTGGTACCTGCATGCCTGGGCCTTGCTTGTGGAAGCTTTTGGACACCGACATTCCATCTGGAGTAGGCAGGGAGACTGCACCTGCTTCATCTGGGGTGCCCTGGTGAAATTGGCTCAGTACGGGGCCCAGAGGGAACTTCAGTGCTGTGGTGCCATTCCCGGGCTGGTTGCTGGGTCTCTGGGCCAGGGCCTGCCTCATTCTTTGGAACGGCACCTGGATATTTCATGATACAGGTGATGATAGTTTCATTTACCTCTTTTCAATTGATGGCACTCCTCTGCATTTTAAACATTGCACATATTTCCGTTAAAGCCCCCAGACCATGGACAACTGTTTGTCCAGAGCGTTCTCATTAATAACGTCAGCTATTAGTGCTGGGGTTTTGTTTGTTGCATTGTTAGTATTGAGGAATCCCTGCCTTCCAGAAATTTCCTTTGAACTTATATGCAGGAACTAATAAAAAAAAATATCAGTTCTATTAAAAGAAAACTGGTGGGGGCCAGAGCCATAGCACAGTCGGAAGGGCATTTGCCTTGCGTGTGGCCAACCCGGGTTCCATCCCAGGCATCCCCTGAGCACTGTCAGAGTGATTCCTGAGTGCAGAGCCAGGAGTAACCCCTGAGCATCACCAAGTGTGACACACAAAAAAAACAAATGAACAAAAAAAGAAAAGGAAACTGGTGGTATTGTGGACAAGGCTTTAGGGATGTGTAGGAGCGCAGAGGCGGACACTGAAGCAGCTGGAGGGGCTGTGTTGGCAGGCCTGGTTTATTAAACAGTCTCAAGTCTCGTGGCTGGGGAGATGCTGCAGGGGTTAAGGTGCTCACCGTGCATGGAACGGACCCTGTTTCTGTTCCTGGTTTTATTCCTCTGAGCTTCTCCAGGAGTAACCCCTGGCAGCACCAAGATGTGGTCTACCCCACCACCACCACAAAAAAAAAAAAAAAAAAAAACAAGAAAAGGGTTTTCAGGCTTGGTCACTGCGTGGGTTTAGCTGAACTCAGCTCTGACACGGCTTCTTTCTGTCTTCTCAGAGTTGGGGTTCCGGGGAAGAACAACTCTACGCCGACTTTCCGGAGCTTGACCTCTCCCAGCTGGATGCCAGTGACCTGGACTCGGCTCCCGGCTTCGGGGAGTCTCAGTGGTGTCCAGAGAACCCCGAGACAGAGCCCAGCCCGTACAGCCCCGATGATTTGGAGCTTTTCCAGGTACGTCTCTGGAGCCCTGCGTCCTTTGCCCCTGAGGTCGCACTTGCCTCTGTGTCCATCCTGTCAGAGGCATCTCCCACCAGGCCTTGGGACTCGGTCATCTGGGTCTGCACCTCACCTGCACTGCTCTCTCCCTGTGTCCAGTTTAGAACTAAGCCCCTCCACAGTGCTCTAACCCTGTGTACCATCTCCACCTCCTCTGTGCTCCGGCTCAGTGCTTTCCAACTTCTCAATACCCGTGGGCTGGCACCTGTCCACAGGCCGGGCTGTAGACCAGCAGTTTGAGGTAGAAGGCTGGTTTTCAGTTCCTTCTGTGCTTGCACAGAAGCAAGCCAGTGGTTGATTATCATAAGATAAGCAAGCCCGTGCTTATCTCCTGAGCCCTCGTCCCCATTTGACAGTCGAGTAAGCCGAGGTTTGGCGAGGAGCTGTCACCTCGCAGGTAACAGAACAGATGCAAGGCCTCCCAAACTCTGGGCACGGCTCACAATGACTCAGCAGCTGCCCTGGACAGACAGGGTTCTCCTGGATCCTGGTGGATTCTCGTAGCAGCTCTTTGCTGTCAGCATGGTCATGCCCAGGTTTCAGCTGGAACCCGGGGGTCCTTTAGAGGGAGGCACAGCTGGGTCTAGGCCAGCCACACCCCGTGTATGCCGCTGAGCAGGGTGAGCATGTGGAGGGCGGCATTTCCTGGGAGCAGCCCCCCCCTGGGAGGCGGGATTGGCATTTGCAGGGCTGGGCATGTAGAAGAGGGGACCCTGACCGTGTTGAGGCTGGCGGCGGGCCGTGTCAGGTTCCTGATTCTTCCCCTGAAATGTGCTTGTTTCCCCGCCAGGGTGGCTGGGCCTGTCTGGCAGTAGCATCCTAATAGACCAACAACATTCTGGATGCCAGATGCTGTGCTGGCGTCTGTGTGTCCCTTCACGCAGGCCCGCTGGGTTAGGTCCTTCCTGCCCACACTGGTAGGGGGCTGCGTGCCCCTCGGGAGCCTCTGCAGTCTAGGGGGACTGGTGCTGGCTCAGTAAAACATGCAGACAGCTGGTGGCCAAGCAGGGGTCAGAGAGAGAGAGAGAGAGAGAGAGAGAGAGAGAGAGAGAGCAGAGACGGGGTTGGAGGAATATTCCAGCGGGAGTGGCACTTGCCCTGCACTCAGCCCGCCTGGGTTTGATGCCCTGCACCTTGTATGATCCCCCAAGCCCTTCCAGGAGAGATCCCTGAGCATAGAGCCAGGAGTAAACCCTGAGCACTACCCGGTGTGGCCCCCAAAGACAACAAAAAGCAGGGCTGGAGCAATAGCACAGCGGGTAGGGCGTTTGCCTTGCACACAGCCAACCCAGGTTCGATTCCCAGCATCCCATATGGTCCCCTGAGCACCTCCAGGTATAATTCCTGAGTGCAAAGTCGGGAGTCACCCCGAGCATCACCAGGTGTGACCTAAACAGCAAAAAAATAAACAAAAAAGAAAAGAAAAGAAAATGCAAGGATCAAGGCAGAAAAGGAACCGAGGCCCAAAAAAAAAAAAAAAAAAAAAAGCAGTGTGGGGTAGAACCTGGGGGCTGGAAGCAGAGGGGAAAGTTCTAGAGGCAAAGTCAGGTACGCACAGCATGTGGGGGCCAGGAGCATCTCCCTAGCCCCAAGAAGAATGAGCACTGCCCTGAGAGCTGCTTGGGGGTAATTTAAGGAAACACACGGAAATAAGTCATCTCATGAGGGAGGAACAAGACTAGGTGACTTGCCCAGTCACATGAGCAGGAAGGGCTGGGGAGAAGCTGTAAGCACCCGTGGCCTCGCTGCTATCCACCTTGCCACCAGCACAGACCTAGGGGACAACCAGGGGGACAGCCTGCCAACACAGCACCCAGGGGTCGAGCAGGGAGGACAAGCTTCTCCCAAATGCCCCCTAGTGTGGAGATGGGCACGGGGTGAAACTCGGGGACTGCCTAGTCCGGGGCTGCATAACCCTTTTCTACTGGTAACCCTGTATTATTTTTGCTCGAGAAACACACACAGTTGAGTGGTGCCAACATCTAGGATTCATTATAATTTGGTTTTGAATTCATTTTTAGTGTTGTGCATTTAGAAACCTTGTATCCGATTTTTTTTTTTTTTGGTTTTTGGGTCACACCCAGCGATGCACAGGGGTCACTCCTGACTCTACACTCAGAAATTAGTCCTGGCAGTGCTCAGGGGACTATATGGGATACTGGGAATCAAACCCGGGTTGGCCGCATGCAAGGCAAACAACCTGCCCGCTGTACTATCGCTCCAGCCCCATTGTACCTGATTTTTTTTACCCCTTCCATGTTCAGTCATGTGACGCCATATTGGTGGTGACCCACAGCTGAAGAAGCTGCCCCCAGCAAGCCCCTCCTGCTGCGTCCATGAGTGGTCTCAGACCTCAGCTGGCTTGCTACAGCCCTGGGCTCTGCTCAACATTAAGGATAGACCCCTCCGACTCCCACATTGAAAAACCATTCTACCTCGGACCCCCCCACGTCCCCACCCAGACCCCCAGCACAGAGCCCTCCAAGTCCAGGGCCTCAGACTGCCCAGTCCATTGTTCCACTCCCACAGCCAAATGGCTAAAGCCCATTTCCCACCATCCCCCACGGCCAGGGGATGGTGACGCCCTGCCACTGTGTGCACATGTCCACGTGTCTGTATCCTGCAGAATGAAACTCCCTGGGAGCAAACAGCATTTTCATTAATTCATTAGTTTAGCCTCTCAAGCAATGCTCAGGGGCCTCAGGGGCCATTCCAGGAATAGCCAGTGGACGCGACGTCCAGTGCTGGGGCCTGAGTATGCGAGGACCACCACCAGAGCTGCCGGCAGTGCCAGGAGCTGTGTGGTGCCACAGCCTGACCCTGGGTCTTGGCACCAGCTTTGCTACTGTCTGGCCTGCAAACAGCCTTTGATTAACCTCAGGACCGTGCATTGTGCTGACTTGGTGGCCACATGCTGAGTGAAGGAACGATGGTGACCTCTTATCTGTCTGCTTTCAGCAATACCGTCTACAAGGGGAAAGGCTTCTTTTTTTTTTTTAATTTTTATTAGTGAAACAACATGAGGTACAGTTGTAGACTTACAAATTTTTGTGCTTGAGTTTCAATTATACAAAGATCAAATACCCATCCCTCCACCAGTGCCCATTTCCTACCACCACGGATCCCACTATCCCTCCCATTCCCCATTCCCCCCATCTCACCCTGCCTCTGTGGCAGGGCATTCCCTTTTGTTCTCTCTCTCCTTTTGGGTATTGTGGTTTGAAAAAAGGCATTGAGTGCCAATCATGTTTGGTCTATGGTCTACTTTCAGCATGCTTCTCCCATCCTGGGAGGATCCTCCCAACACCCTTTAATTGGTGCTCCATTCTCTATCTGAGCTCCCTTTTCCCCTAGCATGTGTGGCTGGCCTCCAAGCCATGGAGCAAAAGTCCTGGTACTAATCTCGGCCACTCTTGGGTGTTAGTCTCCCATTATGTTACTTTATGTTCCCCAGATGAATGCAATCTTTCTGTGTCTATCCCGCTCTTTCTGACTCATTTCGCTTAACATGATACTTTCCATGTAGTACCACTTGTATGTACATTTCATGACTTCATCTTTTCTAACAGCTACATAGTACTCCATTGTGTAAATGTACCAAAGTTTCTTTAACCAGTCATCTGTTCTTGGGCACTCAGGATTTTTCCAGATTCTGGCTATTGTAAAGAGTGCTGCAATGAACAAACAAGTGCAGATGTTACTTCGACTATACTTTTTTGCCTCTCAGGGATATATTCCCAGGAGTGGTATTGCTGGGTCAAATGGGAGCTCAATTTCTAATTTTTTGAGAATCGTCTATACTGTTTTCAAAAGGACTGAACCAGTTGGCATTCCCAGTAGCAGTGAAGGAGGGTCCCTTTCTCGCCACATCCGTGCCAGCACCGGTTGCTTTTGTTCTTTTGGATGTGTGCCAGTCTCTGTGGTGTGAAGTGATATCTCATTGTTGTTTTGATCTGCATCTCCAGTTATTTATTTTTTAATTTTTGCTTTTTGGGTCACACCTGGCAGTGCTCAGGGGTTCCTCCTGGCTCTGCACTCAGGAATCACTCCTGGCGGTGCTCAGGAGACCATATGGGATGCAGGGAATCGAACCAGGGTTGGCCTTGTACAAGGCAAATGCCCTACCCACTGTGCTATTGCTCCAGCCCTGGAAATGCTTCATTTTGAGAAGCGATTTATTCACGTAAGCGTTACAGTGATCTGTCATTCCAACGGTATCACGTCTTTCCTGTCACTCGCCTCTTGCTGTGCCTAGCCTCGGGGTTCTCTCTTGGGGTGTGTTCATGGAAAGATTGGATTTGCTCTAGGGTTCAGAGCCATCTGCAGGGGTGACCCACACAGGCCACAGAGGAAGGACGGGTGTACTTTCTTTTCTGCTGAGGACCAGACACAGCTTATCTACTGGCCCTGAGCTGGGGTCGTGGGTAAAATCCACGCCAGGTCTGTGGCCTGCTGTTCATTGGTGCCATTGCTCTGGGAGTAGGTGGAGAGACAACAAGTATCCGTTACCTGCCAGCCACTGCTCAGGGCAGGCCCGTGTCCCCCAACCCCATTGCTCCTCCCAGGGCCCACACCCTGACAGCCCCATAGTAAGGAAGGGAGGAAGCAGTGTTTGCTGGCTCTGTCCCATGTGCTCTGTGACCCTGGGCTCAAGGAACAGGTACAGAACTGGCTCTTTTTCAGTTCAGGGGGAATGACTGGGCTTCTGATGGAGCCTAAGACCCTACTTAGTCCCAGGGGGAAAACAAGTAGAACCAATTTCTTGGTTTTCCCATACCCCGGTGAGTTTCTCAGGTGACTGGAGAGATTTTCTTCATGTTCTTCCAGTTCTGATAGTCTGAATTTTGTTCCGTGTGTCATTCCTTCCGGCCAAGTTTCCCTCCGAAGCTCCCTCGCATTCCTTGAAGATCTCTATTTGCCCAAGATCCCGCCCTGGAACGCTTGGGGTGAGGCGGCATCTATGAATATCCCTTGTCAGCTGATCGACTCTCCATTAATTTGCACGCCTGATTTCCTGGCAGAGTGGGGGCGCTCGCTCCCATGCCCAGGCAGAGAGAAGGGATGATGGATGCTGAGTGATGCTTGGGTGGTGCCGTGGGCAGGCGTGGCCTTCCTTCCGGGCCGGGCAGGGCAGCATGCCACCCACACATCCCCCCTGCCACTCCCAGAGTTGGGACCAGGCTGAGAGGAGGGTGGGACTGGGCCGAACAGGAGGGCTGGACTGGGGATATTTCATGGGTCTTTTTGTAGTTTATGCCCGTGGGTATCCTGTTAGCACCCTGTCTGGGGCCCAGTGAGTCCCTGCATCTCTGTTCTGAACCTTCGTCCCTCCATTCCAAGGCATGGCAGGTGTGGCCAGAGGAAGGAACTGTGTGCGTGCGTGAGTGCGTGCGTGCGTGTGTGTGTGTGTGTGTGTGTGTGTGTGTGTGTGTGTGTGAGTGGGGGGGCGGGGGGGTGGGGCGTGCCAGCACACAGACTGGATGACCCGAGGCCAGTCCCTCTGCCATGTACAGGCTCTCACAGCTCCGGCCACTCAATGTGCTCCTCAGAAAGGACCTTTTCACGCTTCTTTCCTGCTGCCCCCCCTCACCCCAGTGACTTCCCTCCGGATGTTCCCCCGAAACTGCTTCTGGCCTCCTTATAGCACTCCTGAACTTCTGTCCCCACAGCCTTGTTGGGGATCTGATGCCCCTCCCACCCGCCCCCAACTCTCCCTGCTGTAGGAGAGTCCAGCCGTGACATCCCAGTTGCCTTCCCCTGTGGGTCGGTGGTCCGGGCCCTGAGACCTGAATTCCTTTTCCGTTTGCTTCCTGGGGCGGGGGGGGCGGGGGCTGTAGTGTGGCCTGAGGGTGGAGGCGAAGGGCAGCCGGGAAGACCCTGGCCTGGACCTGCCCGCAGGCCCGCATTCCTGGAGCCTGGTCAGAACCTCCTTCTCCATCTCTCCTGTGTCCTTAGCCCGGTGCAAAGGTTACCATCACAACTGCTGCCTTCTCCCCGTGCCGCCCCTTCCAATTCCTCAGCTGCTGCTCTGGCCGCTAGGCCAGGACAGATTTAGAGCAGCCCAAAGGCTGTCACAAGATGCGTCTTGCAGATGAACTTCCTGGGCAAAGGGGAAACAGGCTGACGCGGGGTGGGAGAAGGCCGTGCGGGGGGTCCCAGGCCTGTCAGGCCAGACTGTAGCAGTCTGGGGCTAGCCTCAGACCTGGGGAGTCTGGCGTGCCTGTGTGGGCTGCACCCCTGGTGCTGAATCTCCGTGGGACCCCAGCATCCTCAGGTTCCCTCCCAGCACCCCTTCATGGAGGCGGGACCAGGCCTGCTGTGGGCATCTTCTCTCCTCTGCTCTCCCAGGCATGCTGACACCTTCTCATCTCCTGAGCCTGAGTTTCAGGGCAGCCATCTGTGGCCCCCCCCCCAGACACACCCCAGGCCCTAACTGGCCTCCCCCCGCCACACTCTCCTTTCCTGCCCTTGCCAGGCTCTCGTTTTCTGCGACAGTCTCCTTCCTGTCCTTGTGCCTCGTCTCAGTGCAGGAGCTGGACCATCGGAGAGCACCGAGTAGCCAGGGATGGGTGTGTGCATGTGTGTGTGTGCAGGGGGTGGAGGAGAGAGCAGAGGAAGGAACCGTGTCCCCCCCCCCCCCCCCCCACCTTGGCAGCACGTCATCGCGGCGATGCGCGCGCTGCTTCCTGGCATCTTCCCTGGGTAATGGCCTGGTGTCGTAGCTCTGGGTCGTTCTCCCATTCCAAGGCACGCCCCTCCTCTCAGCCTCCCTCCCGTCACAGGCTCCCCCGTGAGGCACCAGGGATGGCAGCTGTTTCGTCACAGCCATGCAGGGCCTGGTCATCCTCCCAGGACTGTCCTTGGCAGAGGAACAGACTCAGCAGCTGGCTCTGTGCCCAGGGTCTCCGCCTGGCCCTGCCCCTTTTCCCTGCTGCCAGGGGGCCCGGGGCAGCTGTGGTCCTGGCCACCCAGAGACAGGCAGGGCTCAGGGTGAGGCAAGGGGCAGGGGCCAGGGGTCGGGGTGCTAGCCGCGGTGCTGAGCAGGTGCCTGTTGGGTGGGGGTTACTGGTCCGGGTACCACCTAACCATGTGCCCTTTCAATGTCCTGTGCCCCTCCCTCCAGATCATTGGCAGCGAGAATGAGGCCCTGCTTGCGGCCTTCACCAAGACCCTGGACGACATCCCCGAAGACGATGTGGGTCTGGCCGCCTTCCCAGCACTGGACGGTGGAGATGTGCTGTCCCACGCTTCGTCCTCGCCTGCTCCCTCCTCCGCGCCCCCCAGCCCGTCCCCGGAGGAGCCCCCAGCCCCGGTCTCTGAAGTGGATGAGCTCTCCCTGGTAAGTATCTCTGTTTTCTGCCAGGATCCGAGCGCACAGCCAGCAGGCTGTGGAGTGGGGTTGGGGGCCTCCCAGTCTCCCAACTCCCGTCCAGCAGGACTAACCGCGAGGTGCGGGCAGTGGCAGCTTTGGGCCTGCACTGAGGGGTCCTGCCGGGTGGGGGTGACCAGTGGGGTCCAAACAGGTCCCTGCGATTTCCCAGAGAGGCACAGCACAGACCCAGACGGGGAATGTGGACAGTTAAGTGCCAAGCCTCCTTCCCCATCATCTCCCAATGGCTTTTCCTCCCCTGGAGGTAACCATGGTGACTCGTCTGTTCTGTGACTTTCCCACCCGCCCCTGGCTGCTCCCAGGGAGTGGTGGGTCTTGAGCCTTCCTGATGAGCACAGGCAGCTGCTCCCCACCTTTCCGTGGACTGCGCCATGTTCCCTGGTCAGGACCTGCCAGTGCCGCCTGAGCGGGGTGCCCCTGCTGGGGACAGGTGCCTGTGGCGCTCTGGTGTTAGAGCTACAGGCCCCGACTTCCGTGCTGGTCACAGGGGAGTCCTCGCGCCTTCCCAAGTCGTCCCACTTCTGCCTCAGTTTCCTCAGGTACACTTGGTGATCACCAAGGGCCTTTTCAGCCTTTTCAGCTCAGACTCTGGCTGGCCCCCTCCAGTTCCACCAGGTTCTGATATGCCCAGCTGAGAATGGGCATGGCTGAGGGCACAGCCTCAGACACCTCTGCAGTGGAGCACCTTACTCTGAGCCCAGAGAAATGGTTTCAGCAGCCTGGGAAACCTCACCCTCCTGCAGAGCTTCAGAGAAGCCGTGGCTTTGTTTGGCCCCGTGGCCCTTGCCCTTTCCCCTGAGTTCCCAGGGCAGGGCCAGACTTCTCCCTTTCCTCCTGAGCAGTGCTCAGCGGGTGTTCTGTTCCCGGTGACTCTTGAGCTCTGCAGGTGAGTAGTGCTGTTGTGCTTGGGCCCAGTGGTGCGTGAGGAGGCCAGCAGGGCTGCACCAGGCAGTGCTGGGCATCAGACTCCCTGTGGGCTATATTCCTGGCTCGAGCAGGGTGGCACTTTTAGAGAGCACCTATTATGGGCTGGGTACAAAGGTATGCTTAGCCCCACTTGGTTCCTGTTTAGGAGCTCCCTCTCAGACTTGAATCAGACCAGCCAAGTTGGGCTGAGTCCCCACCCCTCCAACTTATTTTTTCTTTTTTGGGTCACACCCCGTGATGCTCAAGGGTTACTCCTGACTCTGCACTTAGGAATTACTCCTGGCGGTGCTTGGGGGACCATCTGGGATGCTGGGGAGTGAACTCGGGTCAGCTACATGCAAGGCAAACGGCCTACCCGCTGTACTATCGCTCCGGCCCTGCCACCCCTCCAATTAAGGCTGGTGTTCCTTAAGGCCCACCCTCCCTCTGGCTCAGCTGTAGGCAGGGTACATAAGCAGACCTCTCCCAGACTGTCTGGATCACTCTCAGAAGGCCCCTAGAATAAATGCACTGGTGGGAAGGGCGGGACCCTTTCCCCATGGGACTGGGCCAGGGACCCCAGAGAGGGGCCGGGGTCAGGCAGAGACAGAGCAGCCCCTGCTGGTCACGGATGTTCCTAGATGTCCATTCTGCAAGCCCAGAGGAGTGCCTCCTCTTCTGTTGCTGTGCCGGCCACACAGGAGATAGTGGCCTCTTCTAGACTCCTGGCAGCCCAGCAGAGTTCTGGGAAGATGGTTCCAGTACCCAGATTCCCAGGGCCTAGCCCATGACCCTCACTTTGACTTCTCCGAGTTGGGCTGCAGAGTGAAGGCCCTCCCAGACACCAAAAGGTCTCCCTGCTCTGTCACACTGCGGGAGAACCAGCCCTGGGGAGGGAGTGGACGTGGCCCGCTCCAGGTACTGGGTGGGGTCCAAAGGCAGACCTTTCCCTCCATCCTGAGCTTGCTGCAGAATCCCGGGGGTGCGGCCTTTCCTCTGGCTCCAGAGGCTCTCCTTGTTGGGGTGATGTTGTCCCCAGGAGACACTGGGGGCTTCTCTGTTTCTCGGCTGGACTGCTGCAGCCTCTGGACAGGAGCACACGTAGTTATCTGCAAGGCTCACAGAGGAGGAAAGGGCCCGACAGACCATGAAGACACGAAGGCCCATCAAAAGCAGTTATCCGCACTTCCCCAGCAGGAAACAGGCCCTGTTAGTGTTTGTGGTAGGCATTTCTCACCCTCCATAAGTTTTAGTAAGTTCAGTTTTGAAGGAATAGATTGGAATGAGTAAAAAAAAAAAAAAAAAAAAAAAAAAACCTGCAAAAGAGGGGCTGTACAGTGATAGTACAGTGGGTAGGTCCGCCAACCCGGGTTCGATCTCTAGCATCCCATATGGTCTCCTGAGCACCACCAAGAGTAATTCCTGGGTGCAGAGCCAGGAGTAACCCCTGTGTATCACCCAAATAGCCAAAAAAAAAAAAGTGCAAAAGAGAAATTGATAGACTTGTACAATATAGACACATCAGTATAGTTCCTTCCAGGCTCTGTGTGTGTGTGTGTGTATGTATGTGTGTGTGTGTGTGTGTGTGTGTGTGTGTGTACTACAGGTGTCTACTACAAATGTCCCCATTAACTATCTGCTTCCAATTTAACAGTAGAATTGTCAGATGTCACCCCTTCTGACAGTTAGGTTTCCCCAATTCACTGTTGCTCTCAGGCAGGTGGTTCCCAGAAGCCTGGCTGAAAAAGCCTCCCCTGGCAAGCTACCCATGACGTATTCGATATGCCAAACACAGTAACAACAAGTCTCACAATGGAGACGTTACTGGGCCCGCTCGAGAAAATCAATGAACAACGGGAGGACAGTGCTACAGTGCTCCTATTAATTATTCAAAGGAGTTACCTTTCCTGTGGGTCCTTGTGTGTGTGAGGAACTCTCAGCTCCCCCTCAGCCCCTCTCAGCCCTTCTCAGTCCTTCTCAGCCTCCCATCAGTCCCCCTCAGCCCCCTCAGCACCACCACAGCCCCCCCTACCCCCAGCCCCCTCAGCCCCCTCAGCCCCTCTCTGCCTCTCGCAGCTGCAGAAGCTCCTCCTCGCTACGTCCTACCCCGCGTCGAGCTCGGACACGCAGAAGGACGGGACCCCCTCGTGCCAGCCAGGCCTCCGGTCCAAGAGTCAGCGGTCTTGTGTCAAGGTATTTACGGGCCTGCTGAGCTCCGTGCTGTGCAGCCTCAGACCCAGTCCTCGTGAGTGACGGCACGTTCAGTTGCGTCTAGTCTTGTCCCTTCCAGAGCCATGGAGCTAGAAGGCCGGGGACTTGTCGAACCATTGGGAAAATTCCAGACACACACGCACATACACACACACACACACACACACATGCACACACACACACACACGCACACACACACATATATCAGGGATGGAGTGGTCTGCTCTCGGGAGTTTATCCCAAGGGGGACGCATGGAAGAGGCCGTGAGGAGGGCTTGGAGTCTTTCCTTGGGAGCCTCAAGTCAGAGGCTCTTTTCGGCCTCAGATTCCCAGCAGATACTCCCAAGTGCCTACCCCTGGGGCTGCCTGGAGCCTGGATACTCCCTGGACAGCTGTGCTCAGGCCACGGTGGGGCCTGGCGGGAATCACTTGCTCTTGCTCAGGCGCTGGGTCCCTCCGTCCTGCCCCCCAATCTTTGCTCCTCTCCCCAAATACAGGGGAGGCCCTGCCAGGGAGGCCTGTCCCTGCAGGCAGGCACGTGGGGTCACTCTGGGCCTGGCGAGCTGCTGGCCAGGGGGCAGGTGGTTCCCAGAAGCCTGGCTGAAAAAGCCTCCCCTCATCCCACAAACCCCGGGATCCCGACTGGACCGCCTTTTTTTCTGTCTTTCACAGTTTGCCGAAGGTGACACTTACCCATCACCAAAGGCACCTTTTTAGAAAGCGCAGTGCAGGGACCCAAGTGTGACAGAGCGGGTGGGTGCTGGCCTGGCACACGGTGGACCCAGGTTCCATCTCAGCGCCATGATTTTTACAAATCATAGTCCTGGAGCCAACTGTGGCATTCTTCCCACTGGAGAACATTCCCAGGATTCCGGAAAGTTCCCCCGGGTCCCTCTTTATAGCTGATCCCTACTCCCAGGCAGGCTTTGCTGCACCCTCAACTGGTGGCTCAGCAGGGAATCTGTGGTGGGGAGCGCTGGGAGGGACCCCTCTCCCCTCCTCACAGCGCTGTAGACTGGACACAGGTGATGGGGTCGCTCCTGTGACCCCATGTGTGTGGACCCTCCCTGCTCACTGCCCCTTTCCCCTCTGTAGGTGGACGGCACCCACGACAGGAGGGGCCCCCTGACTCCGCCCCAGAGCCGGAGCTGTTCGGAGCTGCATAAGCACCTCGTCTCTGCGTCCCCCTGCCTCCAGGCCAGGTGCCTGCAGCCCCCAGCACCTCCAAGCCCCGACCTCCCCGAGCAGGAGGAGGTGGAACTGGGCGAGGACTGCCCGAGCCCCCAGCCCACCCCAGTCTCCCCCCAGGCAGCCCCCGCGCCGGGCGGGACAGGCCCCAGCACCTCGGTTTCCCAGGAAGACATGCAGGTCATGGTCCAGCTCATCCGCTACATGCACACCTACTGTCTCCCCCAGAGGAAGCTGCCCCCGCCAGCCCCGCAGCCAGCCCCCCAGCCCTGCAACAGCCCCTCCAGGCAGGCCCGTGCCCGGCCTGGTCCCCAGCACCCCTCCAAACCCTCCTGGGCCGAGTTCTCCATCCTGAGGGAACTTCTGGCTCAAGACCTCCTCTGTGACGTCAGCAAGCCCTACCGCCTGGCCACGCCTGTCTATGCCTCCCTCACCCCTCGGCCCTGGCCCCCCAAAGACAGCCCTGCCTCCCACGGGGATGAGGTGAGAGTCGCGGGCTCGCCCAGGAACGCAGGGCCCCGGCCCAGCCTGCGCCCTCTGAAGCTCGACATGAGGGGCCGGCTCGGCCGGTCGGCCAGGCTGAAGGACGAGGAAGAGGAAGAAGAAGAAGAAGAAAAAGAAGAGGAGGACGAGGACGAGGAGGACGAGGAGGACGAGGAGGAGTGGGGTCGGAAAAGGCCAGCTCGAAGCCTGCCATGGACCAGGCTGGGGCGGAGGCAGGATGGCCCAGGCCCTGTGCGGCGCTCACGCAGACTGAACCCTGAGCTGAATCCCTGGCTGGGTCGCACGGACGAGGCTGTAGGGCCCGCTGAGCCCCAGGCAGCCCTGGCCTCCCCACACCTGGACCCCAAGACCTGCGACGTGGACGAGGAGAGCGCTCAGGACCAGCCGCTCCTGCAGGGACCTCAGACCCCGACGCTGGAGAGCCCCTGTGAGAGCGGATGTGGGGATGCCGAGGAGGACCCAGGCTGTCCACAGCTTCCGGCCAGAGGTAGGCGGGGCGCGGGGCGGGCGGGTTGGCACACCCCCGGCACCGGGTACCCCCTCCTTTCTGGCTCTCGATAATGGGGTGCCGGGTGCATTGCAGGAAGACCAACCCCCACCTCGCTGAATTTCCATCCCCCCGCCCCCCCGGTGAGCAAACTTCCTCAGCGAGATTCCTGCCTTCCTGGGGTTGTGCGTTTCAGTGGAGGAGACACCCCTGGGTGCAGGGAAAAGAAGAAACAGTTGAACCCCGAAGAGCGTGGGGGCTTGGGGCCCACTCTCTGGCCGTCAAAACTCTCCACGTTGGAGTGATAATACAGTGGGGAGGGTGTTTGCCTTGCACGCGGCCGACCCAGGTTCGATTCCCAGCATCCCATATGGTCCCCTGATGAGAGCACCCCAGGAGTAATTCCTGAGTGCATGAGCCAGGAGTAACCCCTGTGCAGTGCTGTATATGACCCCCCCCACTGCCCCCCAAAAAAGAGAGAAAAGACTCCATGTTAACTTCATTTGCCCCAGTTTAATGACTTAGACTGCTGTTGGCCCTCCGCGGCCAGTGTGTCGCTAGCGTGGTATGTTCTGCATATTGTATACTGTGACTCCTCAGACGAAGTAAGCTAGAGATAAGCCTGTGCTGTGGAGAACAATTACCACTAGCACTGCCTCGCTGAGAACAGAGAAAGGCGGGCGGGGGCCATAGCCCGGTGGGGAAGGCGTTCGCCTTGCACGCAGCCAACCTGGGTTTAGCCCCCGGCATCCACTGTGGTCCCCTCGGCGCAGAGGCAGGAGTCAGCCCTGAGCACCAGGAAGGAAAGCACAGCCCTCTCCGTGGCTGCCTCCATGGAGAACAGTTGCCAGCACTGTCTATTTAAAGAAGACTCGACGCCGAGGGCCTTCGATGGCCGAGCTCCCTGTCCACAGACCCCGTGTGCTCAGGGGCAATGCAACGCTGAGCGCTGGCTGCCCGCTCCTGGCATGGTGGAGGATGTGCTGGGCTGTGGGTGGCAGCCACAGTGACATGCTACGGAGCCCTCCAAGTGACCGGGAGGGGGCCTGTGTGGAGGCACTGAGTGGTACCCTGTTGGGGCCGGGCCTGCCTGTCCGCTCAGCGCAGAGGGCTGCATCCGGCCTGTCCATCCTGGCTGCCGACTGCTGCCTGCATGTCCCTGAACATGGCGGCACCCAGTGCCCTGGCGCTGTCCCTGGCCTCCTGCGGAGGGACCCCGTGTGGGCTCGGGATGCGTGCGGGATCTTATTTATTTCTTTTTTTTTTTTGTCTTTTCAGACTCTCCCAGGTGCCTCATGCTCGCCTTGTCACAAAGGTAGATTTTTATTATTTTTTTTTTGAAAGTTACTTGTTTATGATGATTCCGTTTTGTTAGTACATGTCTAGGGCTTGGAGATTTCATTAGTCAGCTGACCCCTGCTCTGCCACCCTTGACCCTGTGGGACTTTCCAAGGCTGCTTCTCCCCCACCTCCCCCCCACTCCGCCCCCAGGGAAAGGAATTGGTTTGAGAAACTGTCCCTGCAGGCAGCCCTCTCCCCCGCCCAGTCTGTGTAGGCCCAGGAGGTGGGGGGAAATAGTTCTCTGGCCATGCCCTGAGCCGTCCTCCTTCTCCAAGCCTGGGGAAAGGGTTCTGTCCTCTGTAGGAGAAACAGGTCATGCTGTGCTGCGTTGTGCAAGTGTCTTGTCCTTTCTGGGTCTTCGGTGCTCCATGTATAAAATGAGGAGCTTCTCTTTTCTCCAGCAAATGCCTGTGAATCTCCTCAAAGGGCTCAGCTGGGATTGGAGAGAACAGTAGAGGGCTGAGCTGCATCCATGCATGTGCTCCCCCAGTCTGACCCCAGCATCCCCAGTGGGCAGGCCCTGGCAGCGTCCTGGGATGAGGCCTCCGAGCACTGCTTGGGAGCCCCTATCCCCTCTCCTCCTCCCCGATGAACAGCTGTAAGAACCAAGCAGCTTTGAACCCCACGGCAGTCAGGATGGGTTGTTCCCGCCCCCTCCACCCCATCTGTCTGCGTCGCGTGCTCAGGGAGCAAAGCCAGCACTGACCGCTGGTCCTCTCTGTCCTGCCGCCCCCACAGTGACCCTCCTTTTGGCAAGAAGAGCTTCGAGCAGACCCTCAGCGTGGAGCTCTGCGGCACCGCAGGTGAGGTGATGCGGTGGAGCCTTCCCCCAACACAGTCACTCGAGAGGCCTGCGGGGGCCCGGCCAGGGTGGGGTCAGAGAAGCCTGAGCCCGCAGGGCAGCCAGGGAGGCTTGGGATAGCATGTGACAGCCCAGGCTTTGCCCAGCGGTGGGCGATGAGGGCACAAAGCAGGGACAGGGATAGCCCGCAGACCCAGGAGAGAAGAGCAGGAGGACAGCAGGGTTTGTTAGGAAGTGCCATGCCCACTGGACTCCGCAGTCTCGAGGAACCCCAGAGGCAAGAGAGGTTGGACTTTCGTTCCCCGAGTTCCTTGCGGTCCCCTGGAGAGGGTGGGTTGGGCGGGCGGATGCAGCAGACCTGAGCAGGGGGCGTCCTGTGGAGCCTTTCCTGGACCTCCTGCCGAGCTCCCTAACCCCTCACGGAACACGGCCGAGCAGACTTGGGGGTCTGAGACTGAGAAGGGGGAAGACGGTTCCCAGGTTCCAGTTGCTGGCGGAGCCCAGGATGGGCTGCAAAGGATGGCCCTGGGGTTGTGCGTTTCAGTGGAGGAGACACCCCTGGGTGCAGGGAAAAGAAGAGACAGTTGAACCCTGAAGAGCGTGAGGGCTTGGGGCCCACTCTCTTGCGGTCAAAACTCTCCCCATTGGGGCTGGAGCGATAGTACAGTGGGGAGGGTGTTTGCCTTGCACCCAGGCCGACCCAGCATCCCATATCGTCCCCTGATGAGAGCACCCCAGGAGTAATTCCTGAGTGCATGAGCCAGGAGTAATCCCTGTGCATTGCTGGATATGATTCTCCCCCCACCCCAAAATAAAAGAGAAAAACTCCCGGTGGGTGCCCAGCTAGCAATGTCTGCCCCCTCCCTGGGCATGGAGAGTGGCGGCCAGCTTGCTACTTGTGTGTCCTCCCCAACCAGGGGCTGGTGTCCCGTGGAGAAGCCACCGGTCTCCACCTCACGCTTGTCCTCTTGCTTGGGCAGGACTCACCCCGCCCACCACGCCCCCATACAAGCCCGCCGAAGAGGACCCCTTCAAACCTGACATCAAACACAGCCCGGGCCGGCCCGGGGCTGCTGGCCTCCCACTGGTGGCCGCCACCGCAGGCACCGTCGCCCACCGGCCACCCAGGAAACAGCCCGAGCGGCATGAGCTGCTGTCCCAGCTCCGGCTGGCTGCCGCCGCCGCCACACCCCCAGCCGCCTCGCAGGCCGGCCAGAAGCGCCCCTTCTCCTGCTCCTTTGGAGACCACGACTACTGCGAGGTGCTCAAGCCCGACAGCGCCCTGCAGAGGAAGGTGCTGAGGTCCTGGGAGCCGGCCGGGCTGGCCCTGAACAACCGGGAGGAGGACAGTGCGCTGCTGAGGGACCACGAGATCCGCGCCAGCCTCACCAAGCACTTCGGGCTCCTGGAGAGCGCCCTGGAGGACGAGGACCTGGCCTCGTGCAAGAGCCCTGAGTACGACACCGTCTTCGAGGACGGCAGCAGCAGCAGCAGCGAGAGCAGCTTCCTCCTGGAGGAGGACGGGGAGGAGGACAATGAGGAGGGGGACTCGGGGGTCAGCCCCCCTTGCTCTGACCACTGCCCCTATCAGAGCCCCCCGAGCAAGGCTGTGCGGCCCCCGTGTTCCCGTAGCCGCTCCAGCTCCGGCTCGTCGTGCCGCTCCCGCTCACCAGCCTCCCGGAGGCCCTTCAGGTACGGCACTGGGTGGGCTGCGGGGTGCGGGGGGGGGGGGCAGTTTCCATTGTCCTGGGGGAGGGAGATGGGCAGAGCCGGCCTGGACAGGAGGCGTGTCCCGGCCCCTGGCCCAGGCCTGAGCCACTCACTCGTACTTGCTGCCATCAGAGTCAACCAGGAGGCCCCCGAGCGGTTCGACCCTGTGGTGCTTGTCTTGTGTGCATGAGGCCTTGGGTTCCATCCTTGGCACTGCAAAGGAGCACTGTAGCACTGTCCTCCCATTGTTCATCGATTTGCTCAAGCGGGCCCAGTAGTGTCTCCATTGTGAGACTTGTTGTTACTGTGTTTGGCATACTGAATACGTCACGGGTAGCTTGCCAGGATTTGCCGTGTGGGCGAGATACTCTCGGTAGCTTGCCGGGCTCTCCGAGAGGGGTGGAGGAATCGAACCCGGCCCGGCCAGGCTGGCTGCACGAAAGGCAAACGCCCTACCGCTGTACTATCACTCCAGCCCAATATTTTTGTAGTCTGGTAAAAGAAAATATTGCTTGCATGCATTTCAGTTGAATATTGCACATGGGAAATTGTACTATTCTGTTGTGAAGTACGATTTTACATAACTTAAGCTACTTGCCCATAGATTCTTTGCTGATATGATCAGTTTCATAATCTCACACACTGTTTCTCCTTAGCACCTCTCACTTAAAAGGTGTTTGCTTCATCATTTTACCGCAGTCTCTTATCTTGAGATTCATCTATTGCATTTGAACTTCAGTTCTTTTAAATCCTTCGGTTGCTGTTTCAAGTGTGGTATGAAGTTTCAACTCTTAATCATTCCTGTGCTGTACAGTTCAGAGAGTGGACTCAGAATTTCCAGTGGATATCAATTGATACTAGTCAAACATCATCAATTTATTGTAGAAACAATCATGCATGCATAGGCTGCAAGATACATGGTTGGTCACCAGCAGTAGCTACCTACTGCATCTTCATAGAGAAGTTCTTTCAACTTCATGGTGTAACCTTAGAAACTATTTAAAATCATCAGAGCTGACACATTAGCTGTATCACTGGCAGATGAACTGCATGGTTCATGAGATGAGTTTTACTGTATCACTGCCTGAAAACTCACCTCCTATTTTGCTCCCCTTGTGCCTGCAGTTCTTCATTGGGTTACAGTACTATTAAAACTGCTACACTCTGACAAACCACACAAGGTGACTTTCAGGAACTTACTGACTATGCACTTGTGGTAACAACTCTAGGCTCAAACCTCACTGTGTGATTAAAAAAAAAAAATGCATGACCATATGCTACTAATAAATACTTTGCTTTTCTGTTTACATTTTAATCAGCATGACAAACAGCAACTGTAACATTTGACAGTGATAGGTCAGAAGCCCAATTTTTGAATGAAAAATATAGGGTTGAATAAGTATGGAGCAAATAAGTATAGTCCTTATACTACAAAGAAATTAACACATAAATAGATTTCCTATAGCGATAGGTTGTCTGAAAACCAGACATTCCCAAACTCACGTGGACCTACCACATGAGTAGAAACAAACTTACTCCACACCCCCCAAGACATCCACGTTCGTTAAGCCAGCAGTCACACCCACCCTAATCACCCCCAAGGCTGCCACCATCCACCCTGGATCTTTCTAACCTTCCTTGAGTGGTACTCTCACACACGCTGGAAGGAACTGAGGGTTCTACCTTTCCGTGTCTCTGTAGTTGACCACCTGGACGATAATGACCACTAAAGGAAGATTCAAGGGGCCAGAGCCATAATAGCGCAGTGGGCAGGGTACTTGCCTTGCGCATGGCCGATCCGGGTTCAGTCCCGGGTACCCCTTATGGTCCCCCAAGCATGGCCAGGAGTGATGCCTGATCTCAGAGCCAGGAGTCAGCCCTGAGCACTTCCACAGGTGGCCTCATTCTGACTTACAGTCTAGAGAAGCTTCCTGACAGGGTCCCTCTGAGCCTGCACCCACCCCGCGAAGGCGTGCTCCTTCGCTCCTTTGCTCTGGAGTGAGCCACGAGCCACCTGGCTCATATCATTGTGGCACACTTAGCCCCTGCAGAGGGGCCCACCATCCAGAAGGCAACAGAGAGCTGGCAAGGAGATTGGCTTTGTTGGGAGGAAGCAAGACAGGACTCTTCTCTGGGATTGATTGCCCAGGACAAGCTTGGTGCTGGTCCCAAGTCCTCTGCCTGACATGTGCCCAGATGGCCACTAGATGGTGCTCTTAGTCCTGGAGCCCAGTAGCAGTGCCCTGGCGGGGCTGCCTGCCAGTGAGTGTCTGATTCTGTGTGTGTATGTGTGTGTGTATGCGCACGCGTGTGTGTGGAGGGTGGGGAGGGGGACTTGATTTCCCACTGAGGTGACAGTGATGTGGCCGAGACTCATACTTCGTGAGAACCAGATTCAGCTAACAGATACTTGCGTTAGGCATATTGAGTTTCCTATTCATATGTCCACTCCAGTGGCTCTTTACTGGAAATCTGACTGAAAACATTCGTGGGTTCTCCAGACACTAACGTCCTGAACTGTCTAATACACGAAATGCATTCCCAGCAATTTCCCCAGAAGCCCTTCTGGGTTGTAATCAGTTGTGTCTGTCCTCACTGAGCCCTGGGCTCTCTGTAGCACCCAGGGCTGACTTGCATGGCTCCGTTGCAGCACTTAGGAAGAGTTGCATGGCTCCATTGCAGCGCTTAGGGCAAGTTGCGTGACTCTGTTGCAGTGCTCAGGGCTGTCTTGCACAGCACCATTGCAGTGCTCAGGGCAAGTTGCATGACTCTGTTGCAGTGCTCAGGGCTGGCTTGCACGGCTCCATTTCAGGGCAACGTTCAGGTTCAGGTTAATTCCTCCTGCTCGGCCATCTGGCAGAGCTCAGCACCTGGTAAGCTTCCGCATGCCTGCACTCCCTCCCCTGCACCCCCCACTGTGAGCATCTTCTGTTGGACTCCTCAGTGCCTCGCCAAGAGGTTCCTACTTGCGGGTGGTCATCTCTCCTCCCGAGACCCTGGAGGGTTTGTCTGCCTTGGATCCCCCATTTAATAAATTAGGAAACTGAGGCTCCAAGAGGTTCAGTAATAAAATTTGAAAGCTTGCTTCAGGGGACTAAGTATTTCTGTGCATTCGTGGTGAGTCCTCGTGGGAACCCTGTTGGGAAGCTCAGCCAACCCTCCTTAGGTTTCAGATGAAGAAGTGTGGGTCAGAGGGGCGAGTGGATTGAAGGCTGCTGGGACGGGAGCTAGGCCTTGGGGGCCGGGCACTGGATCCAGGACGGACTCGTGCTCAGCACTGAGCCCCCAAGTACGGCAGCACATGGCAGAGCCCCGACATGCGGTGTTTCCCGCCCAGAGGAGAGTCCTAGAGTCAAGGGAGGAAGCCCTCACAGGCTGTCTGTCCTTCCCATCTGGGAAATGGGGACCTCGGGTTTGGGGATTTTCACCCTCAGCAGATCAAATCTAGCAGTGGATGGCAAGAGCTCTCCTCTCCAGCTAGCACAGGAAGTGTTTCCTACCCAGCTAGCACAGGAAGTGCTTCCGGAGGGTCGCAGGTCCCCATCCCTGAGCCAGTAGAAGCCACGTGGCCAAGTGACCAGACCCTCAGGCCAGTTTTGCTTGGAACGAAGCACGGCCCTTGGTTTGGGGGGAACCGTCATGCCTGCCCGCCCACCCAAGAGTGAGACTCTGCTCTGTGGATTCCCTCCCCCCCAGATGCGGAAGCAGAGGGCCATGCTCCGATGGGACACCCAGCTCCCGGCATGCCATGAAGCGGCGGGAAAAGGCCATTGTAAGTACGCTAGGACTCTCACGCCTCGAGTGATGGGGACAGGGCGGGGGGCTGGGCGGGGGGAGCAGGTAGCTTGGGACTTTCTGGATCTGAAGCCCCTCCCTGGGGAAGATGTGGCTGTCACCTGCAGAAGACAATGGCTGGGGTGGTGGCACCTGCCCAGGAGAGACTGAGAGGGCAGGCTGGGCCGGGTAAGGCAGAACTGACTGGCCCACTCGGCTCCAGGCCAGCCCTGCCACCCTTTCTGGGCTTGGGCAGCCTCCAGCTTCCAGGGACCTGAGTTCAAAAGCATGCAAGGGTATGAAGTCCTGGAGGCCTCCCAGGTGGGTCAGAATTCAGCACCCAGATGCCCTGCAGAGCTCGTGCACAGACGCAGGCTGGGCCCAGGAACCCTGCTCCGGAGAGCCCCCCCAGGGGAAATGCAGCAGTGGCCAGATGCAGGGGGGAGCAGGAGTGAGCTGCTGGGGAGAGGAGGCTGGGAGCTCTCAGCCGGGGCTGAGGACAGCGACTGTGCTGGGAGCCTCTTGGAGAGGCTGTATGGCTGTGACATTGCCGAGCACGGCCCTGGGCTGTGGGCAAGAGGGACGAGGGTCCAGGTCCTGTGGTTGGGGCAGGAGAGAGGCTGGGAGAAGGGCCTGCCCGCAGTGCGGGTGTGGGGCTCCTGGGAAGGGCGTCCCTGTGCTGGGGTATGGGGGATGCCACATGTGTCCAGCCGCAGCGGGGGCGGCTCCATGGAGCTGGTCCTGGGGAGGGGATGGAGCAGCACACTGGTACTCAGACACCAGAGCACTGTTGGGTGGGGAAGGGGTGGATGTGGCCCCAGTTTCTGAGCTGCCAGGGGCCCCTCCTGCACACCTGCGGCTCCAGAAAGCCTGTCTGGACCGGTTCCAGTTGGTTTTGCACTGGGAGGAGCTCGGGTTGGCAGGATGGCGCTGAGGTACACCCAGCAGGATGCAGCAAGATGGGATTCGGCTGTTCCCACTCTCCCCCAGGGCTGCCTTGGGGCCTGCCGATAACACTCCCGCTCACGGAACATGACTTCTTGGTCACTGGGTCTAAATGCCCTGCAAAACCCAAGAGAATGGTGCCCCCCCCCACCCCCACCACCATCCCTCTGACCCCACTCAGTGCTCCCTTACTTGCATATTTCCATCTTTGGCAACTGGCGTGACACCCCAACTTCTCCCCCATACCACCCAAAACCAAATCTCAATTCAAAGCGGACTTAGAAACCACCAAGGCTGCTGCGGTGTGTTCGTGTGGCAGGCCCTCTTTGCAGCCCTTCCTCCTGTTTCCTTTCATAAACTTGGGGTCCACAGCCACCACCCCCCAGCACCCAGCAGCCCCGGCTCCACCAAGGTGGATTCTGTGGGACAGAGCCCTCCGCCCCCATCCTCTGTGCGACCCCACTCTCCGCCCCCATTCCCCAATTTGGTGTCTGGCCCCGGGCGCAGGAAGCCCCGGCAGGCAGTGACGGCGTCCCCATGCCTGCTCCCGAGCAGGGTGAAGGTCGCGTGGTGTACATCCGAAACCTCTCCAGCGACATGAGCTCCCTCGAGCTGAAGAGGCGCTTTGAGGTGTTCGGGGAGATTGTAGAGTGCCAGGTGCTGAGCAGGAGCAAGAGGTGAGTCAAGCCACGGCCCGCGGGGAGGTGAGTGAGAGGGATCGAGGTCCCCAGCGCAGGTCTGGCCACGCTGCCGATGGCCAGGATGTGGTGCAGAGCACAGTGGACATAGTGCACACAGGGACCTAGAGAGCCAGGCTCAGTGATCGGCAACCCTAGGTGAGCAGATGCACTGTGGGCTCTGCCAAGGGCCATTTGGGTCACCTCCAGCCCACCGCCCTGTGATGCCCATGCTTTGCTCTTTCTACTGCGCCTGTCTTGGGGGCGCAGACAGGATTCCTGAGCAGCTTGTCAGTGTCCAAGCCACATCTGTGCCTCCAATGTGTTCCAAGTTCCACGTAGCTCTTAGGGCCAGCGCAGGGCCCTGAGCACCCTGGGGCGGGAAGGCACCTGTGCACAGGTGAGGAAAGCACTATGCACAGCCTCCCGGTGTGGGAGCCACTCCTGTCCCCCCTGGTGTGTCCAGGCAGGCCTGGTTCTTCCATCCCTCACCTGGGCAAGTTTCTTTCAGGGGCACTGCAAGAAAATGAGGGTGCATGTTCATGGACCTCTTCGTCGCCAAAACAGGCTTTGGAGTAGTTCTCACCTCTCTTCCATGATGCCTGTAAATCGTTGCTTGGCCATGAGTCATGGCACCAGTTAGGATTGACGGGGAAGCACCAGTGTTCGTTAGAAGTGGAGGCTCTGGGATGCGTGTGCCCTGTGGGCGGGCGGCGAGAGGCGAGAGGCGAGGGCCACTCTCCTGTAGTGAGGGTGCTGTGCTTCCCTTCCCCTGCAGGGGCGAGAAGTCCGGCTTCATCACCTACCGGTGCTCGGAGCACGCGGCCCTCTCGCTGCGGAAAGGCGCAGCGCTGCGCAGACGCAACGAGCCCTCCTTCCAGCTGAGCTACGGAGGGCTCCAGCACTTCCGCTGGCCCCGGTACACTGACTATGGTGAGTGCACACAGCCCCACCGGTCTCCGGGAGGCCCAACGCAGGAGGGCCAGAGACCTCTGCTGAAGCCCAGGCCTACGTTCCCTCGTGGACGCAGCTCCCACACCCAGGCTCCCAGGTGCCGTGGGGTGACTCTGCAGCCCGATCACCCAGACCATCTTGTTTCCCTCCTGCTGCCCGAGAGTCCAGTTTCTCCGGGCTTTCGGGACAGGCCAGTCTGGTGTTAAGAGTCTGCTGGCCGAGCCCTGGTCACTTATCTCTTCAACCTCATGGCACGAGCACCCCGTCCACTCCTCTTAAGGGGTCTTAAGAGGAGTTAAGACAGTTCTGCCATGGTGCTCCCAAGGCAGCCGTCTTGTCTACTTAGAGGCCCTGGTACAGGAATGCTGTTCCTACACCATCACCCTCAGAGGAGGAGTGCTGGAGAATGCAGAATCCAGGATGCGGTTTAGACTAGAATTATCTGGAGGAGCCAGAGCGATAGCACAGCGTGGAGGGCATTTTCTTTGCATGCAGCCGACCCGGGTTCAATCCCCATGTGATCCCCCGAGCACCGCCAAGAGTAATTCTTGAGCACAGAGCCAAGAGCAACTCCTGAGCATTTCCAGGGGTGCCTCCCCCCCAAAAAAAAACACTGCCCCCCCTCCAAAAATAATAAAGAATTGTTTGTAGGGCAAGATCCTGAGTTGGGGGACATGAGAGGCTGGACACTGGCCTGCTGGCCACCACTGACCACACCCAGTGTCCTCCCACTATTCGGGGGGCAGCCTCATTTCCTTCACCCCTCACGTAACACATGTCAGGTGACTCTTGTTATGCTTCCCAGCGGCAAGGAACTGCTAAGTGAGAACGGAATTCTGGGATGGTGGTTTTCAACCCCAGTGCTGATCCACAGGTGGAGAAAGGTTGAACAAGCCGCAGTCCTGGCTGGTGAGGAGCTCCAGAGGGCACTGCCAGGCCCTGGGACTCCCTGTCACATCACAGTGAACTTGGAGCGCCAAAGGCTATTCTCAGGCACGCTTCAAGGCCTTAGCTGTATCTGCTCCAGAGGGTGACCCCAGGACAAGGGCCTCCATGAACTTTTTTTAGCCACTGTGAAATTAAAAAATTATTCATGATTGGGTTCAGGCATCCAGTGTTTCCACACTGACCTCCTCACCAGTGCCCACTGCCCGCCACCTACTTTCACCCCTCCCTCCTTGCTGCTCACTCTCCAGTTGCCACTACAAGGGACACTTTTTAAAAATCTATAAGTTTTCACACTGTGGCTTGCTGTACTGTTGCCGATAGGGTTTCATACAAGTACCTCATCACCTCGGCACTAATTCATCCTCCCCATTGATTTTTCCCTCCACTGTAGTCATTGTCCCCAACCCATTCTGTCTCCTAGCCGCCCCCCACCCATAGTATGTTTTCTATGGAGTACCATTCCTCTATCGCTTCCATTGTCTTTGTGCATTTGTAATTCCCCCAGTATGTTTCCTTATGCCCCATATATGAGAGAGATCATTCTGTTTTGGTCTCTCTTTCTCTAACCTCACTCAGCACGATACTCCCCAGGTCCCTCCACCGAGCAGCAAACTACATGACTTTATCTTTTTTATAGCTGAATAATATTCCATTGCGTACATGTACCACTGATCCATTATCGAGTCATCTTGAACACTTGGGTTTTCCAGATGGCTATTGTGAATAGTGCTGCAATGTCTTTTCTCCACTTTGTTATGGGACCTTTGGGGTATATTCCTAGAGGCGAACGTGCTGGATCAAATGGAAGCTCAGTTCCTAGATTGTTTAGGAATGTCCATATAATTTTCCAAAAAAAGGCTGGACCACTCCACATTCTGCCCCAGCAGTGAACGCGAGTCCCTTTCTCCCCACATCCATGCCAGCACTATTTGTTCTTGTTCTTTTGGTTGTGTGCCAGGCTCTGTGGTGTGAGATGATATCTCACTGTGGTTTTGATTTGCATCTCCCTGATGATATAGAAGGGCTGGAGTGATAGCACAGTGGTAGGGCATTTGCCTTGCAAGCAGCCAACATGGCCAACCCGAGTTCGATTCCTCCACCCCTCTCGGAGAGCCCGGCAAGCTACCGAGAGTATCTCGCCCGAACGGCAGAGCCTGGCAAGCTCCCGTGACGTATTCGATATGCCAAACACAGTAACAACAAAGTCTCCAATGGAGACGTTACTGGGCCCACTCGAGCAAATCGATGAACAACGGGAGGACAGTGATAAGTGATACAGTGATACAGTGATGATATAGAGTATTTTCTCATGTGTCTTTTGGCCATTTGTATTTCTTCTTTGAGGAAGTTTCTGTTCTCTTCTCCCCATTTTTGGATGGGGTTGGAGGGTTTTTGCTTGTAAAGTTCTACCCCACAAGGGGCTGGAGCAATAGCACAGCAGGTAGGGCATTTGCCTTGCACGCGGCCGGCCCAGGTTCAATTCCCAGCATCCCGCATGGTCCCCCAGGCACCAGCAGGAGTACTTCCTGAGTGCATGAACCAGGAGTAACTCCTGTGCATCGCCGGGTGTGACTCAAAAAGCAAAAAAAAAAAAAAAAAAAATTCTACCCCACAAGGTCTTTTTGCTTAAGAAATTTTTATGGACCCTGGGTATGTAGGTGCATGTACACACACGCACACACACCATGCATTTATTGGTTTCATTGATAACAAATCATAAGGAAAATTACCGTGAACAGAGTAAGACTTCTTGCACTCCCCCTGTTCAGTGGTGTGGGACGCGGCCCACCGTCCACGTTTGCTTCTTGCCGAGTTGCTCACCGCCTTCCCTCTCCCTGACTCCCTCCATCCCTGCCCAGATTCCAATTCAGAAGAGGCCCTTCCTGCGTCAGTGAAAAACAAGTACGAAGCCATGGATTTTGACAGCCTACTGAAGGAGGCCCAGCGGAGCCTGCATTGATAACAGCCTTAACCTTCGAGGAATACCTCAATACCTCAGACAAGGCCCTTCCAATATGTTTACGTTTTCAAAGAAATTAAGTCTACGAGAAGGAGCGAGAGCGAGCGCGTGAGAGAGAGCCCGTGAGAGCCAGCGAGAGAACGAGAGCGAGAGACCTGAAACTGCTGTCCTTTCCAAACGAATCAATGTTTACATCGAACAAAGCTGCTTCTGTCCGTGAGTCCCCCATGGTGTGACGACCCACTGCCACCGTAGGTCCTTGCTTCTGCCGGCCGCCCCCGCCCGCGACCCCATAGACGTGCAGCCGTGCTCACCATGACATTTCTTGTCTGTAGTGTGTGATGATGAAATTGTTACTCGTGAATAGAATCAGGATTATAAACTCCTTTTTAATTGAAGAAAAAAAAAAGTATATCCTTAAAAAAAATAATAATGTATTTATAGCTCAGATGTCCTGGGCCCAGGATTATTGTATTGCTTCCTTGATTTTTTAACTATGCACTGTTGTGAGGCGTTTGCCACTGAGCTGCTCTGCTCCCTTGGTCAGTCTGTCTGGGTGGCGGTGGGGGGGAGGGGGGCGGCGTTGGGGGGGGGGGGGCACCCAGGGAAGTCCAGCCTGTAGCCAGCCCCAGGAGCAGGGGGGGAATTGCTAGGTCATATCGGCTGAGCCCTGCCCTACCTGGTTTTGAGCCATCGGGTCCAGTCACGGTCAGAGCCCTCCCCATGTCTCCACCTTGTGCTCGGAGCATGCATCTGCCCCCCTCCAGGCCTTCGTCCACCCGTGGCCCTTCCCATCTGCAGCTGGGAGCGGAGTGTGGGCGACCTGTCCCGGGGCCAGCCGCAGCCTCACCTTCTGACTGCCTGGCCTTGGACCACTCACAGTAGTGGAGATGCAGAACTGTGGGCTGGAGAGGAGAGTCCAGCTCGCCAGACTCCCGGCTTGATGTGGAGAGGCGGTGGCTGACTCGTCCGAGTCGGGCCAGCTCTGGTTCTGGCACGTCTTGATCCGGAGCGTGCTCACTTGTGGCCGCGCCCGAGACCTTCAGCAACACGCAGGTGGCCTGGAAGCCATCGTCCATGGAGGCCTGCCTCGCCTCTCCCCTATGAAGTTGTTCTGGCCTGGGAAAGGGGGGGGGGCAGAGGGTGGGGGAGGGGCTGTGTGTGGGTGCAGAAGGCCTTCAGCATAGAGAATGTTACGGGGCTTCCCCTTGAGCCATGGGGCTGGGGCAGGGCTGTTCTGAGGTGTCCTGGGGCCGGTACCGCCCAGCCCAGGGGGAGGCATTGATGTTGCTCCAAACACCGCAGCTCCCACTCGACCCCTGTCAGACACCAGTGTTTTTTATTTTTTTTTTTAAAAACAGAAAGAAAGAAGAGAAGGGGTCCTACTGCTTAAAAATTAGTTGGAAACGGACTCTCTCAACACTCATGTGATCAGTGATGAAGCTCAGTCAAGCCTGGTCCTTGGAGAATTGCTAACTGACTATTGGTTTTTGTTGGTGTGAGGACTGAGAAACCCTTCAGATCGGGAACTGGGCCGGGGAGGCAGACCTGGGTGGTCTCATACCTCGAACCCACGAGGAGACCGGAGGAGACCGTTTTGGGCAGAGTAGGGAACGCACGTGTCCATTCCCTAGACTTTTCTGACCCCAGTTTTCTTTCCTGGGAAGTGGGCAGAGGGGAGCCCCAGGTGAGCTGGCCCTGCCCATACGTCCTTCAGGCGTTCCTCATCGTCTACACACGGGCCCTCTGGGCCTGCTTCGGCTATTCAGATCCTCAGCCCAGTCTTCACGGCACCAGCCCAAATGCATCAGCTTCAGCCTGTTTGAGGCCCGGTCGTCTTTGATTTCTAACACCCACGACCATGAGGCGGCTGGGTTTCCTGTTGACCCAGCCCTGCTGGTCCTGAGGACACTGCCCCGAAAGTCCCCTGGGCAGAGGACTCCCAGGACAAATCTGAGCAGCTGGGCTGGACCAAGTGGATTGAATTGGTGGCCACAACAGTCTGGGGAAGGCAAGGACCAAAACTCAATCAATCAATCAGTCAATCAGTAGGGACTTTCTGCAGCACAGGCCCATTCTCTATTTTATAGCTATTCACTGCCTAGCACAGAGTAGGCACTGCAGATGATTATGATGATGAGGGTCTAAGGGAGAGAAGGGAACCCTATCTGCTGCCATCGCCCACGACCCTTCTTGTGCCAGGGAATAAACTGAGATTGCGGCCTGCCTGGAGAAGCCTGGCTCAGAGTCCAGAGGTCAGGGGTGAGGCCTGGTCCAATAGGAGTTCCCCTAGGGCCAGGATGAGTCCTGCCCTCACCCGCCATGGTCCCTAAGCCCCTCCGACTCATGCACTCCGCCATCGTGCCAGGCTGAGACCCTGCTGTGGGGGTGGGTGGGTGGCACCTGAGAATAATGGCGCAGAACTGTAGTGAAGGGTCTGTCTCCTCCCCGATCCCCGGTCATCTGAAGCTGCCCTCTCCCTTCAGACCAGCCAGGACACTGTACTTAGACCTGGGCAGAGCAGAGAACTGAGCTCCATGTAGGGACATGATGTGCCTAAGGTCTAGCTTATGGGCACAGGTGCCAGCACCCCCTGCATCAAAGGCTCCTGGCTGCCCAATGGACCAACCCTGCAGGCAGCCTCTGCCTGAGAGACTCACTCAGTGCTGGGCCCCGTCTACCGAGGAGACCTGAGAGTCTCTGCAGGAAAACCAGACCACCGGGGCCCTGCGCACCCAGTTCAGGAGCGGCCCAGAGGAGCAGCTGCCATTGGCAACCACCTCACTGTAGCTCTGTCCTAGTATTTCTCTCGATGATGTTAACCTGTGATTGCCATAAAGCTTCCTGTAGCCTCTGTTGGTCGCTGCCCGTGCAGGGCACATGGTACCGTCCATCTCTGCTCTTCTGGTGTTTTCCAAAAGCATCCGATCCTTCCACTAAGTGGAATTCTTCCATCTCCTTCCTCAGTCCAAGGCTGAATCAGAATCCTCCTCGAGGACTCTGGTTACCGAAGGAAAATGCATCAAAGAGGTAAAGAAAATGAGTGGATGGAGCGCAGCGGAGGCCCCACCCCTTCCCTCTCCCCACTGTGCCTCACCCCCCACCCGAACACTGCTCTGAGTCAAAAGGCACCAGTCAGGGGACAGGTGTGGGGTGGGGGGGGGGGGGGAACAGCAGTGGGTGGAGGGGGGCCGGGGCGCTGAGCTGCAAAGATGCAGCCCCAAGCCCCCACCTGGGGAAGGTTGCCTCGCAGTTTTCCTCACCAGCGCCTGCGTATGTTGATGTTTTGGGAGCAAAGTCGTCAAGGCTTAATGCAGTGTGTGCGTGTGTGTGTGTGTGTGTGTGTGTGTGTGTGTGTGTGTGTGGTGGGGCCGGTGAGTGTAGGGCGAGGAGGATTGGACAACCTGGGCCTAATGGGCAGCCGAATCAGACCCCAGCCTAGAGCAGGACCCAGAGAGGAGTTGCAACTCTGACTCCTGATCACAGTGTTTTCCTTAGGGTCTGAGATGGAGCCGGTGCCCTCAGTTGGGGGGCGGGAGGGGGGGTGGGGAGGTGGGAGGGCTCTATCCCAGCATCAGACGTGACCAAGAAATGAGGTATCCAGTAGCAAATAGAGTGAACCTGATGGTTTCATTGGCCAAAGAAGAGGGTTGCCCTCACCCCTCCTCCCCGGGGCCGCGGGACACAGGTTAGTACTTTTGTGCAATATGTTCAAGTGGTCCCTGAGTCCCTGGGGTGCTTGCACACACAGAGGGCTTCAGGTCTGGATGGACAGGGTAAGTGGGAGCACCGAGGAAGCACGTGCATACACAGACGGGGGCTGAGCCACGTCCCTGCCGGCTTCCAGGAGGAGCTACAGGCTGATTGCATGGAACCAATAAAAGCACTTCGAGGAAAAACACAGCACCACTGGCCAACCACTGGCCACACGTGTTGTGTGGGGTACTCCTTTCTCAGAGGAGTTGGGACGGGTGGGGGCTGGGCGCAGGAGGAGAGAGCACGGCGGAAGCTTCAGGACAGCAGCCAGGAAAGCTAGTCCTGAAGCCTCTAGACATGATTACGGAGTTTTTCGATCCTGGTACCCAGCTCGGTTAAAGAAAAGGAAGGCCAAAACAGCATCACTGATTGAAATGACTGAGCCAGACCCTGACTCTAAGCCATCTCCGGAGGAGCCCCAGTGTCCCTCTGTGACTGTCGAACCAGGGCGGGCTTCTGCCCCCCTCATCCAGCACAGGACAAGAGGGGCCGGGTGAGCACCCATGTCCCTTTTACAGCTGATAGACTCGGTCCTTCCCCCAGCCCTGACCCATGAGGCCTGTTCCTTTGTCTGGCTGTGCCCAGCTCACATCAGAGTGGGGGATTCTCTGCTGGTCCTGGCAGGGTGACCCCACGGTAGAGGGCAGCTCAGGCCAGATCCAAGCCATAGTCCTCTCATGGGGACAGTGAGCCCAGCAGGGCCGGGCGGGGTCCCGAATCCCCCCAGCCTTGCCCGCACCCCTACTAAGCAGCTTTCTGGCAGAATCTTGTGACCGCTTGGCTGTTTCTCTGTTGGTCTCAGACAATACTAGCAATATACTTATTTTTTTCCCCAAAAAGGCTTAACTTAGGCACTTTTCACACATTTCTTTCAAATGATTGTAAAGCATATGGGGCAGCAGGAGGCACGGATCACACTGCATATGTTTGGGGCAACTTTTTTTTTTTTTTGGTTTTCTTAATGGTATAGCAGTGGAGACGGAGGCGGCAGGGCTTGTTGGGGGGAGAGCAGGAGAGCTGTTGCAGCTCCTCAGAATCCCTTGCACATCTGGAAGTAGCTCGGGTAGAAAACCGGCTTCCCCAGGAGTGGGGGTCGGAGTGTGGCGTCGAAAAACCCGTTTGGGGGCTGGAGCAATAGCACAGCGGGTAGGGCGTTTGCCTTGCAAGCGGCCGACCAGGGTTCGATTCCCAGCATCCCATATGGTCCCCTGAGCACCGCCAGGAGCAATTCCTGAGTGCATGAGCCAGGAGTAACCCCTGAGTATCTCCGGGTGAGATCCAAAAAGAAAAAGAAAGAAAAACCCACTGTTTTGTCAGTGCTCGGTCCTGGCCGTGTGCCACGGAGCCTCCCGGAGATCTTTGTAGAACCCTCGCCCCTCTATGCTGTGTTTGTCAAGGGGTCCTCCAGGAAGCCCGCCCTGGCCTCCCTTCCCACTCTGCCAGCCCAGCAACGGGAAGGGATGGGCCGTTCCCACCTCAGCTCTCTGCCTTATCTACGTCCGGTCGCCACCTAGTGGCTAAAGACTGTATCCACCAGCTCCCCAGATGGAAGGCAAACGAGTCCTTTCTGGCCCCCTTGCTGTCCAGCTTTGGGCATCCCCGTCATCACAGCGAGCAAACATGCATGTGTCCCAGCAGTCAGGAGTCTCCAGCAGCAATCGCTCAGACAGAAATGCACTTGTGTCCGCGGGCAAAGGCGGCGTGAGCGCTCAGTGCCCAGGAGGGGTTTACTGTAACTGCAATACTGGCTGCCCGGCGGCCGCCCTTGTTCAGTGACCCTGGCCGGGCCCCGCAC